ATGAAGCTTTACTCTAGTTAAATTTTTACAATCATTTATATTAAATGCTATACAGGGTACCTACAGGGTTGTTCACCACAGACGACACGGAGTATTGTAGCTAAATGATTAGATTTTTACAAATTGTAAGTTTTGACTTCGTTGAAGGACTATTAGAGCTACAATTTAAAAATATTTTTACTAGATACAGAGTGTCCCAAATAAATAAAAAATATCAAAGTTGTATTTTTTTTTAAATTGAACACCCTGTATATTATTACATTTTTAGTTTCTACGATTAAAATAAAGGTAAATTTGATTAAGGTTTATTACACTTAAACCTTACCGTTTTGGAAATATTTTCAATTTTGTGAAATTGCAGTAAAAATTTTAAGGCTTCATTTCTCCAAGGGTATCAAAGTTTTTAATACTAAATATTTACTGAAGTCTATTTATAGATCAGTTATTGTGTTGCAATAATAAAAATAATACTACCTCATACAGAGTGTCTACAAATTTATTTTAAATTATTTCTAGCTGTAAACGGCAATAACTTGTTTAATTTAAATGGAACGCCCTGTATATTTTAGGAGAACCACATGTATAATTTAATTGTCTATCAAATTGTATTATACCACTTTTTATTGCACTTTGTAAATTGTATTATACCACTTTTGTATTATACCACTTACCCTTCAGGTTTTCGTAGAAAATGCATTTTCTTATAATTTAGACCTCATTTATAAATATACCCATGAAATATTGACATTTTAGATTGTTTTTAAAGCAACAAATGTACAAAATGTACAGGCTAGTAATATTATCGTTTTTAGCAAAATGATAATATTTTTCGTTTTTAGCAAAATGATAATATTACTACCCATTTGAGGAAAATGTTGACTACCCATTGAAGAAAACTATTTAACTCTTTATAAAAGAGTATACCATTAATTAAATATACCACCATTATTTCCGCCCAAATACTAATTAATTACATACTTAATTATGTTCGTTAATAAATTATTCTAAATAAATGTGGATTTGAATCAGAAGTCAATATAATATATATATATATATATATATATATATATATATATATATATATATATATATATATTTATATTAATTAACCAAAAATAATATTAAGTGTGGCATATCATTGTACTCAGGAGACCGAGTTCTTTCAAAATCCGAAATAAAAAATGCAGGTTCATATTTAAAAAAATTAAGTTGACCTCTGTATCTCACAAATTAACAGCTAATTTGAAAATCTAAAAAAACAGATCAGATAGCCTTCATAAAGTAGCTATGAGAAAGTGCAATTAGTTTTTGATTTTCTTAAAAGTAACGACAGGAAAAATAAAATTCATTTTCAAAAAATCCGTTTTTTCCAAGAAACTCAGCAATCCTTGAAATTTTAAAACTTTTTTAATGGTATCTTGGTGAACATCCCAAAACGCAACTTTGCCCCAATTTAACCATGTTCGTATCTATTACGGTTACCGAGATACCAATATTCGTACCTCGAATTTGTAGCACCCTGTATAATAACCGATATTTAAACAAAAAATAATCCACAGTAATAGTCTAATTATCACATGATTAATTTTACTCAGCATAAATTTAAAATTGCATTGTTAAAGAGTCACTATGTCCAAAAAAAATAAATAATAATTGTAATAATTAAACTTTCGTATAATATTCATATATATTCATTAATTATATATATATATATATATATATATATATATATATATATATATATATATATATATATATATATATATATATATATATATATATATATATATATATATATATATTTATATTAATTATTATAATAATAAGTTATGAAAATGAATGTCTCTGTTGTTATAAATAAGCATTTGTCAAAAAATAAAATATCATTTTTAAGATGTTAGTTTTTACCACACTGTCTAATACAAAATTCAGGTTTTTAGTATTTGGAGCAATTATTATTAATCAACGCAAACAGTCAATCAATGTAATTTGAATACTGGAATCATATTAATTGGTCCTCTTTAACAAATATTTAAACAGTTTTTTTCTATTTTTTAATGAAATAAACAAACTATATCGACAATATCAGTACCTGTACTCTTTAAAAATTTGGTAAATCGTTAAAAATAATCTAAAATATCAGTATTTCATGGGTATATTGATAAATGAGTTCTAAATTACAAGAAAATGCATTATCTACGGAAACTTGAAGAGATAAGTAAAAAATGGTATAATACAATTTGATAGACAATTAAATTGTCATCTGATTCTTATAAAATATACAGGGTGTTACATTTAAATTAAACAAGTTATTGCCGTTTGAAGCTAATAATTATTTAAAATAAAATTTTAGTCACTCTGTATAAGGTAGTATATTTCTTATTATTGAAACACAATAACTGATCAATAAATAAACTTCAGTAAATATTTAGTATTAAAAACTTTGATACCCTTGGAGAAATAAAGCCTTAAAATTTTTACTGCAATTTCACAAAATTGAAAATATTTTAAAAACGGTTTTAAGTGTAAAAAAGTTTTAAGTGTAATAAACCTTTATCAAATCTACCTTTATTTTAATCGTAGAAACTAAAAATGTAATAATATACAGGGTGTTCCATTTAAAAAAACACAACTTTGATATTTTTTATTTATTTGGGACACTCTGTATCTTGTAAAAATATTTTAAATTGTAGCTCTAATAGTCCTTCAACGAACCTAAAATTTACAATTTGTAAAAATCTAATCGTTTAGCTACAATACTCCGTGTCGTTTGTGCTGAACAACCCTGTATAAAGACATACAAATTATACGTTTACAAACAATAAAAAATCGTTTTTTTTTTTTAATTAAATACCCAAATCTATCCATTTTGGTTTATTTGCCATCAAATTAAATTTGTATAAAACTGTAACTAATGTAGAGTTCCCAACCGTCCCGGTTTGGCCGGGATTAACCAGGAATCAGAAAGTTTGTCCCGGCGAAAGTTTTGCCTTGGCCGGGACCTGGAAACTAAAAAAGTGTATACTGCACACATAATATCCCAAGCAGTATTTTGACGTCGGGACAACGTTGTGTCACGCGACCAAACGTCGAGGCGCAACGTTGGCACAACCTCGTGCCAACCCTAGTCTGCACTAGTTTGGAGAATAATTTTTGGGTCGAAACGACGTTGGATACCGACGTTGGCTAGTAGCCTAATTTAGTACAAACTGCAACGTTGTCTAAAATCCTAATTCACAGAAATATAAAACTATAATAATATGGCGTCTAAGTCGCGTTTTATCCTAAATTGGGGTAATTATAGTAAAAATATTATTTTTATGATTTAGTTAGAGACATATGCCAGATGGCAGTAAAGGAAAACAAAACAAAAGTATTTAAGTGTGGAGGATGTTTGTAGATCATAATTACTGAAACACTTTAACCGACTCTGTAACTCGTTACCCAAGGCAAAAAAGTTAAACGCAAACAACTTTATTGATAAATGTATTGTTTCTACTTTGAAAAATACTAATGGGCCTTAAAGTTAAAGAAGTTTTAAAAAATTTCTTGAATTTTTTTTTAGTAAAATGGGAATAATTTATTCGCAGTCGAAAAAATTGTTTACGCGTGATATTTAGGGTCAAATATTTCAAGTTAATGTATTAAAAAAGCAGGAATTGCTATTTTAGAAACGAAACATTTTCTTATTCAACAACATGGCGGCTTTCACTTTGTCGTTTTGGAGATTAAGATGGAGTAGTTCGAGTAGTCGCATACCTGGACTAATAAAGTCGCAGTTCAGCCTTAACAGGTAGTATACTAGTCGCAAGATTGTCTAATTTAGTCATTCTAGAGTCTAGCTTGTGCCGCCCTCTATATTCTAAATAAACGAGGGAGTGGATAAAGTATCGGTAATATGTCGATATATATTTAAATTTAGTTTTATATGTACCTTTCTTATGTCCCATTTTAATTAAGTTTTTTTTTATAAAAACAAAAATAGCACTGAACTGTCTGGCTGAACAGAACAATGAAGTGAAAATTTAAGATTTAAGGTTATGGTTCAATACAGTTGCAAAAAGGTAGTGGCTCGACGTCCTACCAACGTAAGAATAAGGAAATCTAAACAACGTTAGAATTAGTAAAACAGACGACGTTTGCATAACGTTGGAATAGGTCCAAAAAGTGACGTCGGAAAACTCTTTATTGCCCAACATTGTAACTACGTTGTCCGAATCACCTAAAGATCACTTAAGCAAAAATGTTTACAAGACAACGTTTATTCGACGTCGCAGAAGCTTTTACATTGTTGTAGTACTAGTTCAACGTCGGCACAACGTTACAACAACGTTTACATTTACTTTAATACCCAAGGTACGGAGCTAACTATTTTTTGTAACTAATCCAACGTTGTGTTTAGTAAACATGTGGTCGCAAGTCGTGAAAATGCTACTTGGGATATTTTGATTTCTAATAGTTATTATTTTGTTTCGATTATTTAAAAGCTTAAAAATAATTGTCCCGGAATCGCCGATGCTCAAGTTGGGAACCCTAAACTAATGCCCAAATTCAATATTTTTTACACTACCAATACGCATTACAAGCAATTAATCGTTAAAATCTGAAACAAAATCAATCTCATTTAGCGCACCTAAAAATATGTATTGCCAAAATCAATTATTTTCTTTCTAAAATACCGCGGATTAATTTATAAAATATCTACCACACATCTACAATGCGTGAAAAACTTTAAATCTCAATCATTCCCAGTAGTAATCTCACTCAACATTCTAATTTTACTAAAAACTTTTTTTTAGATATTTTTAATGGCAGCGATACAATACAGGCCTAATTATTATTATTCATATAAACAAACTTTGAAATAAGCTCTGTTTTAAGTTAATCTTCACTGCGGTTAACATTGTTATGCAGCGTGTTTATACAAGCGATGAGTTCACGTAAACCGAACGGCGAAAAACATTTTCATAATAATTTTCACTGTGTTTCTACTGTTTTAGAAAAACCCAACGTGATGGGATGTGTTGAGTTTGCTGCGACGTTGGGCAGCGTTATTTTGCTGATTGTCACACTACCATTTTCACTATTTTGGTGCTTCAAGGTAAGTACAACCAGTTATCACTTACTACTTGTTACAGTGTGGCCCAGTGTTCGAAAAAAAAGCTCCAAATTTTACCTCTTCAATGAAAAGATTAAGGAAGGAAAATGTTCTTGGTATTGCTGACTTAAATTACGTTTTATCAGTGTCGTCCTAATTTTATTTAAAACGTGTAAAAATATAATGTTGGTCAGTTTTAATAAAGTATGTATTAGGACGTATTTCAGGAAAATATTTAACTTCTACAAGGTGGCTCAAGAAGGTATGAGTAGATAGGGATAATGTTTTTTTTTTTAATAAAATACACTGTACAGGGTGGGTCAAATTCGACGCTTTTAAAGGGAAACACCCTGTTCTATAGCAGATAGACGAAAACTAATATCGGTGTCTGGAGCTCAATTTTTATCAAAAACATGATGGTGAAAACCGCACATCGATATCTGTTACCGTTTATGAGTTACAGGGTGTTTTTCAAAAATATGCATTTTTAACAAATCGCTGTAACTTTTTCTCTATGGAAAATTTTATATTTTTGCGATAACATTTACACTTTTTTACGTAGAATTTAATGATTTAAGTATATTATTTTATTATTAAGCATATATTTTTTTAAAGTTAATAATTTAAGAGTTAGCAACAGAAAAATTGATTTTTTATTGGGGACACCCTGTATATTTTTAATTAGTTGAAAAGAACTTAAAATTACCTTTCCAAAAATATAGCACACTCGATATTTTGTTATATGTAATCCCCTTCGAAATACAGAATTTTTATAAGTTCGCCACTTTTAACTAGTAGGCTTTGAATCCCTTATTGATGATTTGCCCGTAATGAAACTCGAAAGCAGTTGGCCGTCAAGGCCGTCGGACTTAGTGCCTGTTATCCTTAGTTGATTTTTTATCTTTGCGGAAGAATAAAGGTTCTTATTTTAAAATTGCCCGTATAATCTAAACAATAATTAGAAGTACTTAGCGGTTAGGCGAGGGTATCTTTCACCCTTACTGAATTAATGAATTCCGCGAGATATTTTCAAAAACGGTCCCGTCTGTCCATAACAGAAGACGGTCGACATGTCGAACACCTGTAGCAAAATATCATGTCTTGGTTTGCTCTTAATTTTTATTGTTATTAGATATAGTTTAAATATGTTATTGTTGTTAAATTTAGTTTAAATTGTTATAAAATTCTACATCTCTCATTGTAAATATTATTTTCGTTTTAATTGCTGCTCACAGCTAGATTTTTTTTGCATTACACCCGGCGACGTTCAAAGCGTACTTATTCAAAGTGGGCGAATTTGTAAAAAAACTCTATATCTCGAAGAGGAATCGAGCAAAATATGAAGTATGCTATATTTTTGGAAAGGTAATTTTAAATTATTTTCAACTAATTAAAAATATATAGAGGGTGTCCCATATAAAAAATCAAATTTTTTGTTGATAATTATTCTTAAATTATTAATTTTGAAAAAATTATACTTAACCCATTAAATTCTACGTAAAAAAGCTGCTTTGGAAATGTTTTCACAAAAATACAAAATTTTCCATAACAAAAAAGTTATAGCAATTTTTTAAAAATGCACATTTTTGAAAAACACCCCGTAACTCCGAAACGGTAACAGATATCGATGTGCGGTTTTCGCCATCATGTTTTTGATAAAAATTGAGCTCCAGACACCGATATTAGTTTTCGTCTATCTCCTATATAAAAAGGCGTTTCCCTTTAAAATCGTCCAATTTGACCCACCCTGTACAATTCAGGGTACGAGCATTGGTATCTCGATAACGGTAATAGATACGAACAAATGTTAAATTGGAGCAAAATTGCGCTTTGGGATGTTCGCCAAGATGCCATCAAAAAGGTTTTAAAAATTTCAAAAAAGTAACGACAGGAAAAAAAATAAATAGAAGCCAATAAAAGTATTACTATAACAAACTTATCTTACAAGCTTACAAACTGGTTATTGTCAAGGATCTGGAAGAATGAAGGTCCTGGAAATAGTATTAGTCGCTTTTACATCTGAATATGTATTACGCAAAATTGTACTCTTTTTGTTAAAATTATGTTTACAGACAATGCTATAATTGTCACAAAATATCACCTCAATGAATTGGCCCCAAACCACTGTTTACAAAAATTAGAAATGTTCTTTAAAAAAATGACATGCGTAAAACTATAAGCAAAATAAAAATTGAAATAGTGAGGGGAATATATAAAAACAGAAGGAAATTAGGCCGATTAATTTTTTCCTTCTAAAACTATAAGATTATAATGGCCTTAAAATTGTACTTCATAAACTACTTCATCCTATTAATTGCTAAGGCATTGAAAGTTTTATTATTTTTTTCATATACTATTTAAATAAAATCATATTATAGTGACTTTTTTTATTGACCATATTTTATTGAAAATAAATGTCAATTTTCAGGTCGTCCAAGAATATGAAAGAGCTGTAATATTTAGATTAGGTAGACTAAGAACTGGAGGTGCTCGTGGCCCAGGCATTTTCTTCGTTTTGCCTTGCATTGACAGCTACTGTAAGGTTGATTTAAGAACAGTTTCGTTCGATGTGCCGCCCCAAGAGGTAAGTCACTTAACTACTAGTTTATTGGTTGTCATTAGGGAAATATGCATATACAGGGTTGTTCACCACATACGACACGGAGTATTGTAGCTAAACGATTAGATTTTTACAAATTGTAAGTTTTGGTTTCGTTGAAGGACTATTAGAGCTACAATATAAAAATAATTTTACAAAATACAGAGTGTCCCAAATGTGTGTAAAAAATATTATAGTTGTATTTTTTTAAATGGAACACCCTGTATATTATTCTATTTTTAGATTCTACGATTGAAATAAAGGTAAATTTGATTAAGGTTTTAATAACAACTATAAGATTTTTTACTTATTTGGTACTCTGTATCTTGTAAAATATTTTTAAATTGTAGCTCTAAGGGTCCTTCATCGAACCCAAAGTTTACAATTTGTAAAAATGTAATCGTTTAGCTACAATACTCCGTGTCGTATGTGGTAAACAACCCTGTATATTAATGTGTACATTTACCGCTTCAGGCTCTTACCAAAGACTCGGTAACAGTGACAGTCGACGCCGTTGTATACTATCGGATAGAAGATCCCTTAAACGCAGTTGTAAAAGTAACTAATTACAGGTACTTCTTCCTTTCTTCTTTATTTAACATCAAATAATCATTTATTTTGATTTAGTAATTCTACGCGACTTCTAGCGATGACAACACTCAGAAACATTTTAGGAACAAGAAATCTGGCCGAGATCTTATCAGACAGAGAAGCAATTTCGCATGCCATGCAAACATCATTAGATGTAGCAACAGACCCCTGGGGTGTTAAAGTGGAACGGGTAGAAATGTAAGAATTTATCACAATCTTTATTTTTATTTATAAGAATCTTTTACCCATTCTCTTATTTTCACAAGTTTTATACCCCCGAATACGGTAGCCTACTAGATTTTACGAGTTAATTGTTGGGGTTCCGTACCCAAAGGGTAAGAACGGGAACCCTATTACTAAGACTTCGCTGTCCGTCCGTCCGTCCGTCTGTCTGATGAACCGACAGTTGAAATTTTCACAGATAATGTATCTATGTTGCCGCTATAAGAACAAATACTACAAAAAACAGAATTAAATAAATGTTTATGAATAAAAAAGTACTTTCACTAAACATTATCTTTTAAATAAGAGTTTTTCATAGAAAGTCCTCGGTGGCCGCGTGGTTAAAGAGTTAGGACTTTACGCTGCTATGATGTTGGAGCCGTAGCAAGGCAGGTTCGAATCCTAGTCAAGGCGACTTTTTTTTAATCGTTCTTTTTTTAATTTTTACATATTTTTACATATTTACTTTTACTTTTTACATATTTATTACTGATTAATACAATTTTTAGTACCGTAGTTTGGGGCGAAATTGATAACCGGGGGCGAAATTGATAATTACATGGTTTAGTCACATTTTTAAATTTAGCGCCAAATTTATGCAACTAGAAGCAGTGGTGTGCATCAGTCTTGTTTAGTAAAGCTTTGATAACAAGACGTATGCAGTCGGGTGTGCCATTTTTTATCTATTTTTTGCAAAAAAACGCGGTTAAAATTAATTAACTAAAATTAAAATTTTAACCGCGTTTTTTGCAAAAATAGATAAAAAATGGCACACCCGACTGCATACGTCTTGTCATCAAAGCTTTACTAAACAAGACTGATGCACACCACTGCTTCTAGTTGCATAAATTTGGCGCTAAATTTAAAAATGTGCCATTTTTTATCTATTTTTTGCAAAAAACGCGGTTAAAATTAATTAACTAAAATTAAAATTTTAACCGCGTTTTTTGCAAAAATAGATAAAAATGGCACACCCGACTGCATACGTCTTGTCATCAAAGCTTTACTAAACAAGACTGATGCACACCACTGCTTCTAGTTGCATAAATTTGGCGCTAAATTTAAAAATGTGACTAAACCATGTAATTATCAATTTCGCCCCCGGTTATCAATTTCACCCCAAACTACGGTAATGTGTTTCTTCATTTTTTTTTAATTACTTATACGCGCATTCAAAATTTCAGCTAAATCGGAAAAAAAGTTTATAATAATATAGTGTCTAATTTTGTATAGATAATGAATGGTTCGGAACCCTTCGTGCGCGAGTCCGACTCGCACTTTTTTTTATATAAAGTCTATCCAACGAATCATGGAATTAAAAACTGTTATTAGCTGTTTAGCAATAGTAAAAAATATGACGTTAATGGAAATTAATAATAACCAACTACCAAAGAATGAAATCTAATTGATATTATCATAGAGGCGCCTTTCGACTTTTAGGACGGAAAAATTCAACTATTATTTCATGTTTTTTTATTTTCTCTAAAATGGTATGGAAATTTGGAAAACTATAAACGGGATTAACAATTTTAGAACAAGCAAAAATATTTACGAAGAATGCATTTTCCTCAAAATGTCAATAATAAAAAAGTTTTTCCTTTTGAAAATACAAAAATCCGGGAACATACTGTAGAAAAAAATATGTTTATCAAGAGTTAAAAAATTAAACGATCTAGTTCTTCAACAGCTGTTTGATGCCTATACAGGGTGTCCCAGGCTAAGCGTGCATTAGAAGTTTCTAGAGAACTGCAATATCTAGATCAAAGATTTTTTGCACATCATTGTTTTACAATGCGATGTATCGATTAAAAATATTTTCAATATGGCGGCACTTCCGGAAATACCGGAAGTTGGTAATTGGGAGTTTTTTTTGTCCAAAAATTTTAAATTTTCTGCTATTTTTTTATTTAAAAAATTAGCAGAGTGTTTAATATTACAATTCATAAAATATTACAGAGAATTTAGCTATGTAATAAAAATGGGGGCACTCGCTAAAAATAAGAAAGTTGCTGTCAACTTCCGATATTTCCGGAAGCGCCGCCATATTGAAAAAAGTTTTAATCGATAGATCTCGTTGTGAAACATCGATGTGCAAAAAATCTCCGATCTAGATATTGTAGTTCTCTAGAAACTTCTAATGCACGCTCAGCCTGGGACACCCTGTATACAATACAGAGGTCTGTTAAATATAGTTGAATCTAATAAATTTTGTTTGTTTTTATTGGATATTTTGCTAATTAATAAGTTCATATTCAGTAATTATTTTTCGAAAAATCAATTGCTTGCAGTAACCTAAAAGTTTTCAAAAATAATGTCTGAATATTACATAAACTAATAGATATTTCTAAATATAACGATTAATTGGACACTTTTCGGATTTGTTAGTTTTTAAAGTAAATTTTATTTCTTTTATTTAGAAAAGATGTAAGTCTTCCTCAACAGTTGCAAAGAGCAATGGCAGCTGAAGCAGAAGCGTCTAGGGAAGCTCGAGCCAAAGTGATAGCTGCAGAAGGAGAAATGAAAGCGTCAAGGGCATTAAAAGAAGCAGCGGATGTTATTCAACAAAGTCCCGCAGCATTACAGGTATACAAGGTGTCCCAGACTGATTTGGGTTGGCGACTTGACATTTCCGTTTCATATACACACATGGCCAAAATTATTGCATATATCGTTTAAAAATATACGGAAAGGAATTTAAAGAATCTTTTTTTATGCATAGCTTTGATAATCTGTAATAAACATTTTTTTTGTTAAAATGGATATAGTAAACAATGTTTATCGTTCAGAGTTCAGACCCAATATTACTACAAATTCTTGCACATTTCGATTTGTGGTCTCTTGGGTTTTAGAAGAAATTTGACCATTGTTTTGGTCCTAAAATGCCTAGAAACATTATTTCACAGTTTAATAGAGTCAGAATAGTAACACTGTCTCAACAGGGCTACCGACAAGTTGCAATAGCTGAAATCGTACGACTTAACCAAAGCGATGTTTCGCGAATATTAAAAATAATTACGGAGACAAACGAGGTTACAGACCGGCCTGGAAGAGGTAGAAAGAGAGTTACTACTGCTGTGCAAGACCGTCAAATATCTCTAATTGGACGATGCAATCCCCTGCTTTCTAGTACTGCTATTAAAAATGAGTTAACTCGCCTTGAAGGAGTAAATGTTTCAAGAAAGACCATAGCAAGAAGACTTCATGACAGAGGATTACATTTACAAAATTACGCGACTACAATGGGCTGAGGAGATGAAAGCAAATGGACCTAATTGGAATTTCGTCATGTTTAGTGATGAAACAAGAATAGGTCTAGTGTCAGACTCGCGACGAACTCTGGGGAGCATCTGGAAGACGAGCACGCTTGAATGCAGTTCAGTCCCGTGTCCCGTTTCAAGGGGGAAGCATTATGGTATGGGCAGGTATAATGCACGGAGCTCGAACTCCTCTTGTTTTTATTGATGGCACAATGACAGGTGCCTCATATCTTAGAGACGTTTTAGAGCCTATTGTGCGTCCATTTCGAGAGGCAGTGGGAGATGAATTTGTTTACATGGACGATAATGCTCCTCCCCATCGCACTTTAGCGGTTCGCGAATTTTGTGAGGAAAAGGGTATAAGATAACTGTGGTGGTCACCGATGTCTCCAGATATGAATGTAATCGAGCATGCTTGGGACATGCTAAAACGCCATATTGCCAAAAGAAATGATCCCCCCGTACTTTAAATGAATTGGAAATTGCTGCGCGCGAAACATGGGAAACCATTCCTCAACACCTTCTGGACAACTTAATTGAGAGCATGCCACGTCGTCTCACAGCTTGCATTGAGGCTCGAGGAGGCAATACAGACTATTAGTTGTGAGAAATAATTAAAATTGTTTTCAATATTTTTTAAAATGAAATTTGTTTTTGTTGATTTTTACTCATTATGAAATAAAATTATAATAACATCCTAGTTGCACTTTATTTGTTTTTTTTATTTTAATTTTATATTAGTTAGTCGTGTGTAAGCCAACATGTCCAAAAATATAAAGAGAATCATATTAGGTCCAAAATAAAATAAAAATATCGTTATATGCAATAATTTTGGCCATATGTGTATGTATATGAAACGGAAATGTCAAGTCGCTTTAAAAGGAGTTATTACGTACGAATGGAAGCGCGCATAATTTTTTTGAATTAGTACGTAATATACTTTTTACCACAATCATTACGTAATATGCTGTTATGATTAATTTGATTAATTTTGTTTTTCAGTTAAGATATTTGCAAACACTGAACAATATATCCGCAGAGAAGAACTCTACAATAATTTTCCCATTACCAATAGATTTTTTAAGTCAGTTTATGAATTTCAGAGGTGGATCCTCGCAAGTGTCACCAGTCATATAAACTCTGCATAATAAAAAATGTCTATTATTTCCTTCATACCCTGTACACATGTAGTGTGATGTTATTAGCCGTGTTTTATTCTTTTTTATATTAGCGCAATATCTGATATAAAAAATGATTAGATATATTAATATTAAATTTCGACTACTGAGAGACTACTAAATGAGAAGTATAACCATATAAAACCATATAAAAAGAGAAGTATAACCATACAGGGTAGATCTAAATAAGTGCAAATATTTTCGGGGCTGGTAGATCTCCAAAAAAAGAAATACTGAATCTTCTAAAAGAAATATATTTTTGCTTTGCCGTTTTTCAAGTACATAATTCCAAAATTGCCAAGTTATTTTACTTTGAAAATTTGAAAAAAAATGCTAACCTAACCCAACCTAACGTTTTGAGAACCCCTGGATTTGTTCTACCTTAGGTTTGCCATATTATCAAGATTTGAAAAGAGAAGTTGAATAAAAATTTAAAATTTTTCCCAAAAATTTTTGAAAAAATATAATTTTCAATTTTTTTCGAAAATAAAACTTCATAGGCGCATTCCTGGGATTGAAATATTTCACCCCTAAAAATGTTTACACTTAATTAAGACTTACTCTGTTTAGTCTGTCAAGTGGTAGGATCGCTGACATTCAAAATTGTGTCTTTCACGTGCAAATTATAATTTCTGTAATTATATGGAAGTCATCTTTCGCTTTGCGACAAGATATTTTTGTAGGTGAACTTCGATAAAACTTGTTCTTCCTCAAAAACTAGAAGAGGTTTTGTTTTTATTCACAGAGACAAAAATGTAATAAATACTATAAGGACCTAACATAGATACCACAAATATTATTTAAATTGAAATATCAGTTCTTAAAATATCTTAAAAATAAGTTTAAATTTTTAAAATTTCATACATACATACATACATTCTCAAGCTTCATTCAGAACCTCGCAATTAGTGGAATAAATTAGTGGTTTCAATTACGCTTTATACTTTTTAGTTTATGATCATGCACAATGTCTAAAAAACACAATTAAAATTATTAAAATATCCCAGCAACAGCTTCTACGGCTAATTGAAACTACTAATTTATTCCACTAATTGCAAGGTTCTGAATGAAGCTTGAGAATGAGTTCTTTAAGCTTCATTCAGGACCTCGCAATTAGTGGAATAAATTAGTGGTTTCAATTACACTTTATACTTTTCAATCTACGATCATTCACAATGTTTAAAAAACACAATTAAAATTAATAAAATAGCCTAGTAACAGCTTGCGTTAGTCAGTTGTATCTATAGAAAAAGCCTAATATTTAGCTTATAAAACAATAAGCTTTTGATTTCTAACCACAATTTCTCTTGACGGAAGATAATCCAAGGCCAAAGTGACATTTCTCGCAAATTTTGAAGTATAATTAGTGGTTAAAAGTTTGATAACTTTTTCTACTAATTGAAAATGCCTACCACTAATTTTGATGTTATGAATGCTTACATTGAAATAAAAGGAACAAACTTCTACGCTAATTGAAACCACTAATTTATCCCACTAATTGCGAGGTTCTGAATGAAGCTTTAAGAACTTGAAAACACAATGTTTAAAAAACACAATTAAAATCAATAAAATATCCTAGTAACAGCTTGCGTTAGTCAGTTGTATCTATAGAAAAAGCCTGATATTTAGCTTATAAAACAATCAACTTTTGATTTCTAACCACATTTTCTCTTGACGGAAGATAATCAAAGGCCAAAGTGACATTTCTCGCAAAGTGACATTTCTCGCAAATTTTGAAGTATAATTAGTGGTTAAAAGTTTGATAACTTTTTCTACTAATTGAAAATGCCTACCACTAATTTTGACGTTATGAATGCTTACAACATTGAAATAAAAGGAACAAACTGCTATGCTAATTGAAACCACTAATTTATCCCACTAATTGCGAGGTTCTGAATGAAGCTTTAAGCTTCATTCAGACCACTACTACCACTAATTATGACGTTCTGAATGCTTACATTAAAATTAGGTGAACAAACTTCTACGCTAATTGAAATCACTAATTTATTCTACTAATTGCGAGGTTCTGAATGAAGCTTTAAGCTTCATTCAGACCACTACTACCACTAATTATGACGTTCTTTCTGATCATTTCTACCACTAATTATGACGTTCTGAATGCTTACATTAAAACTAGGTGAACAAACTTCTACGGCTAAGTGAAACTACTAATTTATTCCACTAATTGCGAGGTTCTGAATGAAGCTTGAGAATGAGTTCTTTAAGCTTCATTCAGAACCTCGCAATTAGTGGAATAAATTAGTGGTTTCAATTACACTTTATACTTTTTAATTTACGATCATTCACAATGTTTAAAAAACACAATTAAAATTAATCAAATATCCTAGTAACAGCTTGCGTTAGTCAGTTGTATCTATAGAGAAAGCCTAATATTTAGCTTATAAAACAATCAACTTTTGATTTCTAACCACAATTTCTCTTGACGGAAGATAATCAGAGGCCAAAGTGACATTTCTCGCAAATTTTGAAGTATAATTAGTGGTTAAAAGTTTGATAACTTATTCTACTAATTGAAAACGCCTACCACTAACTTTGACGTTTTGAATGCTTCCATTGAAATAAAAGGAACAAACTTCTACGCTAATTGAAACCACTAATTTATTCCACTAATTGCGAGGTTCTGAATGAAGCTTAATAGTCAAAGCACATTATTTGTAGTAATTTAAAAATTAAAATTAATTATTATTTTATTTTACTACAAAAATAATTCAGTATTCAACCACACTTTGTGCAGTAAAATGATTGATTTCATTCATTTAGTAAAAAAGGAAAAAAACTTCAATATAAAAATTTCTGGAAATTATATATTATTAAACAATTATTATATTATTTTCTTTTTCAATGACTTTTTGGTAATGTACTACGCTAGTCAATGGTTAATATTTAAATAATTTGGAATCAAATGTACTACATTATTATGTAGATATTTTAAATAAAATTTAACAAATACTCAACAATTTAATCAAGACATACACAGATATCAATGGCTTCTCCAACTAAGTAATGATTATTACATCATGAAAACGCATCTTTTACGCGTCGGACAGAGCAGCGACACCAGGCAGCACTTTACCTTCCAGAAGCTCCAAACTAGCTCCGCCACCAGTGGATACATGGGATACTTTGTTTTCAGTTCCCCATTTAGCGGCACAAGTAGCTGTATCACCACCACCTTTAAAGAAAAAAGTAAAATATGGCAATTAAACTTTCAATACCAAAACCTATTAAAGTTAATATCCAGAAAATAAAGTCAAATAATGTATAATGTAATAAGTCATAAAATAAGGTATGTAACGTTTTTAAAATACGTTACTTAATTTTTAATATGGTCCAAGGTATTTTATATATGATTGTTGCAAGGCGGTATCTATTTCTGATCCAACCCTGGTTTGGTTTTGACTTTCTTAAGTTGACAACACTGCTATCGTCTCGCGATTTTCTGTGGTCGCGCTTGTCGCTTGTTGCGCAGGATTGTCGTTTGTCAGATTAGATTCATTTGTTAAGATCCCTCGCCAAGTCTAGATTATAGTTTGGTGATTTTATGTTCTTGTGTTAGTCTGCGACGATTTTTTTTTGCGGAGAGTTTTACTAAACCCAACTTAACCTAATATATTTCGCACACTGCTGACATATTTAGGTAGAAACGGGAGCCCTATTACTAAGACTTTGCTATCCGTCCCTCCGTCCGTCTGTCACAAAGGTCTATCTTATGAACCGTTATAGCTAGACAGCTGAAATTTTCACAGATAATGTATCTATGTTGCCGCTATAAGAACAAATACTAAAAACAGAATTAAATAAATGTTTATAAATAAAAAATACTTTCACTAAACGTTATCTTTTAAGTAAGAATTTTACATAGAATCTTTCAAGTCCTCGGTGGCCGCGTGGTTAAAGCGTTAGGACTTTACGCTGCTATGACGTTGGAGCCATAGTAAGGCAGGTTCGAATCCTAGTCAAGGCGACTTTTTTTAATCGTTTTTTTTTTTTAATTTTACATATTTTTACATATTTGTTTTTACTTTTTACATATTTATTTTTGATTGATACAATTTTTAGTAATGTGTTTCTTCATTTTTTTTAAATTACTTATAAGCGCATTCAAAATTTCAGCTAAATCGGAAAAAAAGTTTATAATAATATAGTGTCTAATGTTGTATAGATAATGAATGGTACAGAACCCTTCGTGCGCGAGTCCGACTCGCACTTGACCAATTTTTTTAAGTTCACTCCAAAAAGTCTGATGGAGGAAAGAATGGATTTATTGATCACGGAAGAAACCCTCGAATTATTTCGAGGTGAGTTTGTACTGTTTTTTTTTTTCTAGCAAGGATGTTCTCTCTGGATGAAGTTCTCTTTTAAGAACCCTACTTCCAGCTCTCAGTTAATGCCTTAGGTCCCGTGGTTTTCTTAGGCATGCCTAGTCGGCATTAGCCTGTAGTGTTGGCGTGGCTGTATCCAATCTGGATGCCCTTTTCCAGCCTTAGTTTGTGTTTTAGCTTGTGCTTTCTGCTGTATAGGTGTTGAGCTTCTCACCACCATCTCCTGCTGTCCGCTAGATCGGCCTAGAGTAGAATATATTTTTATAGTCTCTGGAATAGAGATGTCAACGATGTATTCCAGAGACCCAAAAATAAAACGTTTTATTCTTATGGCGTAAACTCTCTCTAGACAAATTTCACTCAACGGTATTGGATAGTTTTCAAAAAACTATTCAGAGCTATTTCCTCTTAACTTTTGAACATGTTTGAACTTGAAAACATTTAAACATGTAATGAAAACAAATACATATTTAAATAATTCAAGACATACTGAGTGTTCAGTGGAAAATAAATTCTAAAATGTATTTACAGAGTTTAGTAAAGGTATCCTCAATACATTTTGCACCTTACCTATAATAGTAATAGCGCCCTTTTGAGTAACAGCAACTACTTCATCCATAATAGCCTTAGTACCATTGGCAAACTTTTCCCATTCAAATACTCCAGCAGGCCTATATAAAATATCAAGAAAACATGTGTAAGTTAAAGCAGCAAAATAATACTAATTTGCAATATACTAAAACGTTTGATTTTAGGCTCTCAACACAGGTTTGAGTAATCATCTTAGCTTCATTGGTACATGATCCAAAGTTAAATATTGGACTTTAATCATCTACAGATGATGGTAAAAATAATTAATTTAAAATAATACTTTATTTTTGCATCGTAAAAAAATTACTGTCGTTAAGTTATCCATCTGTTCTACCTATACAGGTATAATTTTAAAATTCCATTTTTTTTTAAATTTCATTATAGGTAATCCATTTTAGACAAAAAGTTTTCAGATAAAAGTTGTAGATAATCACATCCCTAATGAGATTGTCTTCTCTGGTTTTTTCTAAAGCCTGTCATTTTTGACATGACACAAACATATGTTTTTTTAAAATGGAAACCATAGTTGGTCATGACTTCATAAAAAGCGCCATTTTTAAGCTTTTCCGCGATATAAGCTATAATATGTTTTTTTTTTTACGAAATTACTGAGTTATAGCCAATTCTTATCTTTCTTGACTAATTTCGCTTAGTTAGCCATGGAAACAAGTTCAATCGTCGTTGCTCTCAGAAATGTGAAACTGTCACATCCGAACTTTGTAAATTAAAATAAACAAAAATTGTAAATATGAATTTTTCAAATGAAGAAAAGCGTGTAGGATTATTGGTTCAAGTTTTCTTGGCCATACAGTTTCGAGGATACGTTGTCAGGTGTCCGGTTACTTACGTTTTTTAGAGAACGGTTTTCAAGACATGTTAGAAATTTAAATTTAGATACTCGCACATTAATAGAGTGGTTCCAACATGATCTTCATTATGACCCCCCCCCCACAATGAAAGAAATGTTTAAATATAAATTATTTATATCATAATTATGTAGACTCAGGGATAGAAAAAGGTAGACCAATTGCATGAGCCTCCTCGATCACCTGACCTATCTATTTTAGATTTTTTATGCGGTATGGTTAACAACAAGGTTTATAAAAGAAATTATGAAATAAGAGGGGCACTCGAAGAGGCGGTATAGGAGAAGTTTAATAAGGTCGACCGCCGTTCTGTGAGAATAGCTAGAAATTCAGTTTTACAAAGATGCCAATGGCGGATTTTTTCAACAGTGGCGGATTTTTTCAACATTTTTTTTTAAATAACTTAAAGTGTATGTAGTGATATTATTTTTTTAAGTTTTAAATTGTGTAATGTAAATTGTAAAGAGCCGTTTAATAATATATTTTGTCTTTTTATAAGTTATAAATCATAACAAAATAAGAACACCATGCCAACTAAGTGAAATTAGTCAAGATCAAGAAAGATAAGAATTGGCTATGACTCAGTAATTTTTTGAAAAAAAAACATATTAAAGCTTATGTCGCTTAAAAGCTTAAAAAATGGCGCTTTTTATGAAGTCAAAGCCAACTATGGTTTCCATTTAAAAAAAACATGTTTGTGTCATATGTCAAAAATGACAGACTTAAGAAAAAATCGGAGAACACAAACTCATTAGGGATGTGATTATCTACAACTTTTATCTGAAATGTTTTTGTCTAAAATGGATTATAATGGAATTAGGGACAATTTTTAAAATAGCCAAAATTTGTTTTTTTCGAGATATCTAGTAAGCCATCAACTTTTTCAAAAATCTTAAAGGCACATATTTATGACCCCACAAAACTGCAATTCTTTCCCCATTTAACCGACTCTCTATCTCCAGTAGTTTCCGAGATACCCATAGAGAACATCGTAGGAAACTCACCCGGTATAAAAGGTGCTTCTTCATAATTTATTATACACAAAATATATTAATATAATAATTCTGAATAACGTACCCATTCCACACAATAACTTTTGCCCTCCTAATTGGTTCTCTAAATAACTCGATCGTTTTCTGTCCAATATCCAAACCCATCCAACCATCAGGAATGCCAGATTCAATAGTTGCACAACTGGACTAAAATAAGAAGTAATATATTATGGTTGATACTTACAATCCTCTAAACTAGACTTACTTGAGCTTTCTCGTCAAATTTATCAGCAGTGATAAAGTCAATAGGCAGATGCACCTGTACGTTATTTTTTTGTGCTTTGTCAATCAAATTTTTCACGATTTTAGCTCCCTCGGTATCATACAGAGAGGTTCCAATCTGAAAATAAATTATTTCATATTATTGTTTATCAAATACCTATTTAAAATACACTACTCAAAACAATTATCGCATATTTGGAATAAAAGTAATTATTACATATTTCTAAATGAACCATGCATTTTTCTGCTTAACATTAAATACTCCTTAAAGTTTCCAGAATTTGTTTTGAAACATCCTGTAGAGACTTTTTTAACCAACTGTATATATAAAAATCAAAATCCACCAGTTACATTTTAAATGTAAACTTCATCATAGTCAAAATCGTCTTACAAGTGTCACAACGAAACTGCCTTATGTAGATATATGCCAATAACAAAATATCTAGAACTTGATTAAACATACTTAATCGGTCGTGAAATTATAGTGAATCGTAACAATTCCACAAAATGGACAAGCCATCTGTTTCTAAATCGAAATATTTGACCCATAATCAATATGAATTACCTCATCTCAGACAAGCAATTACACCAGAAAATTGTTTTTTAGAAGGGAATATTAAAAGTAAGTAGTAACTATTATTACATTAATGTTTCTATATAATTTTCCAGCATGTTTATTTCTATTGAACAAAAAATATAAGATAAATAGCAAAAAAATCTAAGGGACAATATGAAAATACTAGTGACGGGAAAAACCGATTAATTTCAATAATCGAGTACTCGAGTTTCAAGCGATTGCAATAACCGAGTGATCTCTCGAGCGAAACATCACTCGTATTTAAAAATACGGTTTTTCGCCAGTCGCTTGTTGTAAGTACTCGGCCAAGCAGTAAGTTGCGTGCGCAGGGCACATATTCTTTCGGTGATGAATGGCAAGTAGCAAGCGACGAGCGATTCGCTTGATTTAGTTTATTTCAAAGCATTATCGATGTAGGTCGTAAAATGTTGTCCCTCAGATACGCAACGGATAAATATATATACGGCGTCGTATAAATTTGCTACCTGCAATGTATGTAGAAAATTCGCTTGACTTTTTATCGAGTATGTCACATTAAAATCGGATTTCAATTTATTTCATTCTAGGATCGCTTGCGAAGCGTCACTTGCATCGCTCGTTCATAATCGAGTGATATCGGTTATTTCAATAATCTCGAGCGAGTACTCGAGCGAATTTTTGCTCGAGTTATCCCATCACTAGAAAATACCCATTTTTTAAAAGTTAATTTGTATCAGGGTTAAAAAACATGTAGGCATTTAAAACTTGTTTGTGTAAAACTTAAATTTCTTGTTATAATGAATTATTTTGAATATAAATATATTTTTTGTATTATATACAGTCCGAACTGTATTCGGGAAATTTCAGTAGCATATTCTACAGATAAAAATAAGTAAAAAAATTCATATAAATGTATGTCCTAAAGTGCTTAGTTTCGGAGATACAGGGTGTACAAATTTCATTTTTATTTTGATTTTTTCCAAATAATTTCTGAAGTAACGTCAATATTTGGATGAAAATTGGTATCTAAAAGTTTTTTGGCATAAGAAATTTGATTTTGATGTCAACTTGACTCCTATTTGTAGGGGGCGCCACCTACATGTGTTTTAACTGTTTTGAAGGGTAATAACTTTTCGTCCGTACCTGTATAAACCTACTGAATGAAAAAATAAATATTTCCGTAATTTTTTACGTAAAAAATGTTTCTTGGTAAAAATCGCTACGAGCAACCGTTCTTAAGATATTTAAAATAGAAATAGTCAATACATGTCATTATTGTCTAAAAATAAACATGTTTATTTGAGTAGATGGTTTATCTGATTGAAATGATAAATTTGGGAACTTTTTATTTTTTTAAATTAATCATAAATTTTTATTCCAAAAAATGATAATAAAACAGTTTCTATTGAACTTTTGATTCAAAAACATTTCAAATTTATGATTTCAGTCTAATAACTATTTAGTCAACATGTTTAATTTATATCAATGATGACAGGTATTGATAATTTCGATTTCAAATATCTTGAAAACTATTACTCGTATCGATTTTTACCAAGAGACCTTTTTAAAAAACGTCGTAAATGTATATTTTTTTACTCACTAATTTTATACAAGTAGAGACGAAAAGTTATTAGTCTTCAAACTAGTTAAAAAATATGTAGGTGGCGCCCAAGGATACTATAGAGATAAGGATAGTTCGATTCCTATCTTCCTGTACTGTCAGTTTTTTACGTTTTCTAGGGACCGAGTTGAAGTTCGCGCTAAAGATTTTAGACAGTGACAGTTATTTTTGCGTTTGACGGACGAGCGCAAGTGCGGCGGAAGATAAATCTAGCGGGACAAAACCGTTTGGTTAGAAATAAGCCAAAAATGTGTACTGATAAGAATAAATAGTAGACATTCCAATTGATATAAAAATGCATGAATTATTTTTTGGTCGCATATATTCTTTGTATTTCGATACATTTTTATCAACCAACCATATAATATCGCTCCTAAGATTTTGTCCCGCTAGAATAACCATCCGTCGCACTGTGGAGCGTTGGTCCTTGCGTGACGTAAGCATCCACGGTGACTACGATAGCGGCGATTTGACGCGATCGAACAGTCCTTTAAGAATATACACAGTCTTTGGGTGGCGCCCTCTACAAGTAGGAGTCATATTGACATCAAAATCAAATTTGTCATGTCAAAAAACTCCTCGACACCAATTTTCATCCAAATATTGACGTTACTTCATAATTTATTTGGAAAAAATCGAAATAAAAATGAAACTTCTACACCCTGTATTTCCGAAACTAAACATTTTAGGACATACATTATATAGAATGAGCTGCCGAAGTTTCCGGAATACAGTTCGGTCCACCCTGTATATTATGTACGTATGTACTAGATTAAATATATGTTGCTATTCTATATTAGTATGATCTTTCAGTTAACATTATAAGACGACACCAACTAAAGTCTAAAGAAGATATGAATCGTCATGAAAAATCGCCTTACGAAAACCTAATTGATATTAACAATAATCTTAGCTGTATGTTAAAAGAAAGTTTTGCAGAAATTGATAATATATGTAATAAAGTACGGATGTGCCTTCTAGATGTTAATCCGAGTACATTACGGTAAGATATTAATAAAATTAAATTCTTGGCTACATAGAGTCGAGTACATGTCAATACTAGTCTATATAAATAAATAAAATAACCCTAATAAATGTTCTACCTAAAAAATGCAATTTAGTTAGTGAATAATGACAAATCATTTTTTTATGGAGCGTTTGTATGAATATTGACTTATAAGTCGATTTTTGATACTGGATTTCACTTACAGTACGAGAGGACAGTATGACAATCATGAAAATAATAGTGTAATGGAAATAGCCTATGTCGAAGAAATATCTCAAACAATTGTGGATACATTAGATAATACAGATAAACACGAAGAAGAAATTGTAGAAATTGAAGAAGAAAAAGAAAGTGACATTAATATAAATAGTGAAATACAGATAACAAATAATAAAAAGTATAAAGATATTAATTATTGGCTGTACTTAAACTGCCGTTAAACGGTAGCTTACTAAAATGCCGTTAATAGGTATGACGTCGTTGATGTGACGCACTTGACGGCTTTATGAAATATAGAAATTTTATAAGGACTAACCAACGCTATCCACCCCACCAAATAACCAACTTAACCAACGCAACTAACCTCGACACTGATAAAAAATATAAAAAACAAATATAAATTAGTAAAAATCAACCAACCCCACCAAATAACCAACTAACCAATGAATTAACACCCTCCAAATAACCACGCTAACCAACCCGCCAAATAACTAAACCAATCCAAATAAAAAAAGTGAAACCAATGCAATAAGATCACGCTATAAGCAAAAAAAATATAAAAAAGTCTTGGCGTGAGATTTGAACCCTCTTTGAACATTCGCTTACGAAGCGATAGCCTCAGTCACTGACCCACAGGTGCTCTTACAGAAAGTTTAAGGCTAGGCATTACTTTCCGCCGACATGAACGACGTCACAATATCTATTAACGGCATTTTAGTAGGCTACCGTTTAACGGCTGTTTAAGTACATCGCTAATTATTTGAATGGTTTAAACTTTTCAAATATTGTTTTTATAGATCTACTCCAGTAATAAAACCTTTTTTTACAATATTCAACCCAACTAATACTTGGGAATCTGTAGAATCAATAGCTCTACAAAATAAACTTACTACGAAATGTACCACAGAAAATTTCCTAAAAACAATGGAAAAAGTCGACCAACTCACCAATTATGAAGAATTATTAAATAATATGGTAGACGATATAAACAAAGAAATCGACTTTTGCTACCCAGATTATACAAAAAATTACGTAAAAAAGACTCAAGAAAATAATATATCTAAAGAAAATAAGAAAATAAGCCACAAAGTAATGTTATTATAATATACATTATCAACTAAATTCTGTCCAACGAGTTTTCAGTTAGTTTTACCACAGATTATACAGATTATAAACTTATCGCCAAAAGCATTGTTTTTCGTGGTTCCAATTTTTGGAGTCGCGCACTAGTTAGGTTACTAGTTTGCGCACAAGCACGCCCACTTATGGCCTCTAAAATTGTGCACAGCGCCTGACCGGCCTTGTAACTGGCCCAGTTATTACGCTGTTTAAACGGGAGTTTATTTTTGCGCACAAGAAAATTTACTCGTTTACTCATCGTCATAAAAAACAAGATTTTTATCTCTATACTTATAGGATACCTAATCTGTGGTTTTACTAACTTAAAAGCTATAAAATATAAATTATTTCAATAAAATGATTGTTCTTTGTGTTTCTAGAATGAGATGTGTTCTTCGTCAGTACCTAATAAATTTATTCAAAATGGAACTAAAAAAGCGAAAAACATTTATGAGTTTAAAAAATCTCAAAAACAAGTTACAGAAGACGCCTTATCAGAAAATGAGTTGAACCATGATTGTGGATTACTAGATAGCAGAAAATGTGTTGTATCATTAGGTCAGTTTTAAAATTATTGTTACGTTTTTCGTCGGTTCCGTGTGGATAGAAAGTCACAATTTATTTAAACACTATTTATTTAACACTAATTAACAAAAACAATAACGATAAAAGACTTATAGAACTATTTACAAACGATTTATAACTAAGAATTTATTTTGAATTTTAGCGCGTCAACTGCACTTGTCGATTTATAACTGCCCTCTCTAGGCCACTGCCGCCGGTTTTTATACCTACAGCAAAAGAAATCTAGAATAGTCCATAGATCGTTAGGCGCATAGAGAAGGTTTTCGAATGTTCTCGTATGTACTAGTCCATTCTAGTGGGTCTCGATTCTTCTCGAACGAATGAATCATTGCGGTGTCTATGCGATGTTAAGGTCATCCGAGGGCGGGCCATATTGTGAGGTTAGGTCGAGTCCACACCGGCTCGCAACACTGCCCCCTTCTTAGGCACATGCTCGTCCCGAGATGTATACGGTGAATGAAGGTATTTGCAAAGCTGGCCCCTGGTACATTGCGAAGTCTGGTAGAAATAGCAGTCCACAGTTTTCTCCCCGATCTCAGCTTTGGGTTGTAGCAGCAAACGAGGATTTCGATTCCCGTAAATCTGAACAAGACTTCAATCATGTTCCGGATTGTACGCCAACTCAAACCATCGAGTCCACACGCCAGCTTCGGAATGGCTAATCGTGCAATGTTGTTGTTTAGCAGGGCTTCTCTCAGTTCAATCAGGGTCTTCCATAGATTGAGATAAGTCGGCTTACTCGGGGACCATTCCTTGGTGACCAGGTATCCTCCATGCTCAGCTTGAATGTCGTAGTGTTCCTTCATTCGGTCACTAGCACTTTGAATATTTAGGCGGACTCTCTGATGAATGTCGTCCATCCTTTGACGTAGTGTGTGGACATAATCTTCTCCGGCGACTTCTTCTCCCGGTCGGCAACCAAATTTCAGATCACAGGGTAGGCGCACTTCCCGTCCCATAACGATGCTGGCTGGAGTTTGCCCTGTAGATTCTTGGACGGATGAACGGTAGGCCAACAGGAACAGGTGAAGAATTTGTCCCAGTCTCTTTGGTGGTCAGAGACTACTTTGGCCAGATAACGGTTGATAGTTCTGTTCATGCGTTCAACCATCCCATCGGATTGTGGATGTAGAGCAGTCGTCCTGGTCTTGCGGATGTTCAGGACTTCACAGAGGCCTTGGAACAGATTGGACTCAAAGTTTCTTCCCTGATCTGAATGAAGCTCCATGGGAACACCAAACCTGCAGATCCATTCTTTAACAAGGGCATCAGCAATCGTGGACGCTTCTTGATTTGGCAACGCGTAGGCCTCGACCCATTTGCTGAAGTAATCCATTACTACCACAATGTATTTGTTGCCATCGTTCGTCTCCGGGAAAGGACCAGCCACGTCGATCGCTATTCGTTCGAAGGGACTACCAACATTGTACTGGCGCATAGGGGCTTTACCACGCTTTTGTGGCCCATTAATGGCTGCGCAAATGTCACATTTCTTACACCACGCCCTCACATCTTCTTTGCAGTTTACCCAGTAGAACCGTTCACGCAGCTTGCCAAGTGTCTTGGTAACACCAAGATGTCCTCCGCTGGTTCCATTGTGAACTTCCTCCAAGACTTCTGGGACCCTCTTCTTTGGAATGACGATCTGCCTTCTCTCTTCTTGTCCCTCGGTCTCGATCACACGGCGAAGTAGTCCGTTATCTATTACCAAGGAATTCACTGGGCCCAGTACGACTTTACGTTCGGCGAATATCTGCAAACTTCTTCCCACGTTGGTCTTTGGCCTGTGTTTTTCCAGTTAATTACTAAACCTAATTCTGGGTCACTGGTTTGGTCATTTGCAAGATCTTCGGGTTGCCAACTATCATTAACCACAGTTGTTCTTAGGAGTTTCACTTCTTTCTCTTCTGCTCGGGAACAATGCTTACAGTCCTTAGCGCAAGGTCTTCTGGAAAGTGCGTCGGCATTTCGATGGATTGCCCCAGCTCGATGTTCTGTGTCGAAGTCAAATTCTTGTAATCGTTCAATCCATCTAGCTACCTGCCCTTCAGGATTCTTAAACTGCAACAGCCATTTCAAAGCAGCATGGTCTGTTCTTAACAAGAACTTTCTTCCATAGAGATACTTGTAGAAGTGTTCCACTGCTTTAACTACTGCTAGTAATTCTCGTCTGGTTACACAGTAGTTCCTTTCCGGTTTTGACAAGGTCTTACTAAAATAACCAATGACTTTTTCTTGACCATCCTGGATCTGAGACAGAACAGCGCCTAACGCAACATTGCTAGCGTCGGTATCCAATATAAAGTTTCCGTTGCCAAGAGGGTAGCTAAGTATGGGCGCACTAGTCAGGGCCTTCTTCAATTTTCGAAATGCCTCGTCAGAATCTGAGTCCCAAGAGAAACGCCTCTCGCCTTCGGTAAGTCTGGTCAATGGTTTTGCGATGGTGGCGAAACCCTGTACATAGCGGCGATAGTATGTGCATAGTCCCAAAAAGCTTCGTAGTTCATGTGTATCTTTAGGTATCGGCCACTCTTCCACTGTCTTGGTCTTCTGTGGATCTACCGCAACTCCTTGGGAGGAGACTACATGGCCCAAGTAGTGTACCTTTTCTTGACACAGATGACATTTCTTGGGGCTAAGTTTCAAACCAGAGCTCCCTAGTCGCTTGAAAACTTCTTCCAAATTCTTCAGATGATCGTCAAAGGATTTCCCAACCACTATGATGTCATCCAGGTACACTAAACAGGTAGTCCAAATAGTCCCTTTAACACAGACTCCATTAGTCTCTCAAAGGTAGCTGGCGCGTTGCACAATCCAAAAGGCATGACGGTAAATTGCCACAGTCCGGAGCCCACCGAGAACGCTGTCTTCTCTCTGTCTTTCGGCGCCATGTCGACTTGCCAATATCCACTCTTCAGATCTAACGTAGAGAATATCGTTGACCCCGCCAGCGTGTCTAGAGTATCGTCTATCCTCGGCAGGGGATAACTATCCTTCTTGGTAACATTATTGAGCTGCCGATAATCAACACAGAACCTGGTGGTACCGTCTTTCTTCTTTACTAGTACTACCGGCGATGTCCACGGGCTGTTAGATGGTTCGATGACACCCTCTTCTTTCATTTCTCGAAGGATTTTATCAGCTTCTTCACGTTTGGCGAGCGGAAGTCTTCTCGGATTTTGTTTGATTGGTCGTGCATCTCCGGTATCAATTTTGTGTTGTACTAAATTGGTACGACCTCTCTGTCCTGCTTCTCCTTTATCAAACACATCTTGATACTTGATTATCAGGTTTCTCAATTTTCTTCTATTTTCGGGAGATAATCCTTTAACGTTTACTAACTCCTTCACCATTTTGTCCGGAATTTTTGAAGTCGAAACTTTGGAGGCTTCCACGCTTCGAACGACTGAGGAGACCGAACAACAGTACCCTAAGAGGGTTCCCTTCTTCAAGGATACAGAATAATAATTCGTGTTCATTACTCTCACCGGTACAGTTTTCTTCGCTCGTAGCAGGGCTTTTCCAACAGCGATCCCTCGTCCTATTTCGCTGTCATGGTTCCTTGGCTCCAACAGAATAATACTCCCATTATTCATTTTACCTTCTAGGCAACCATCCAAAAATATCTCACAGCGCTCAGGGATCGAAACATCTTCTGCTACCACCACGCGAAGCGTCTCCTCACATTTTCGATGCAGAACCACTTCTTCTTCATTTATTTTCAAAATTCCTTGTTTGAGGTTTAGCTCAAAACCTCTAGTGGTCATGATGTCCATTCCGAGAATAAGTTCATCTTCGATGTCTGCTACTAACACTCGATGATTAAAACAGGTGCTTCCGATAACAAAATTAAGATCTACCTCTCCATGGATGAGAGCGGAGCTTCCTGTAGCTGTACGTAGTCGCCATTGTGTTGTTTTAACCTTCTTCGATGTTTTAAGAATGTCCGGTCTGATGATAGTTTTCGTCGCACCTGTATCCAACAGCATGGTCCGGAACTCTCCATCAACAAAACCATCCACAAAAATTCTGTTAAATTTGTGTTGTAGCGAGGCGACTTGAGCAGTTTTCGTTGGGGCATGTTGGGTACAGGTCGACGTGTGCCCCTTCATTTCGACCCTTAGTAGTTTTCCGACCTCGACGAAGCCGGTTCTTCGTTCTTCTCCTTACAACAGCTTCGCACGTGTCCCACCTGTCCGCAGTTCCAGCAACGAATCGGTCCCTTCTTGCCCATGTACTGGTCCATTACCTTCCGAACAATCCCTTCCACGGATTCGTCGGAACATTCGTCGATGGCCCGTACTCTTCCTAAAAACCTAGAACTTTGTTTCGCGGCCTCAAATTCTAGGGCACGTGCTAAAGCATCCACCAAGTGCGTTGGGTGGGCTAGGAGAAGTGCTTGTCTTGTCTCGTTATCACGTAAGCCGTCGGAGAATGCCTGTACTGCCAACCGCTCCATAACATTCTCTGGCGTAGCAGGGTACGCAAGGCGAACGAGGCGGGCTACGTCGGCTTCAAACTCCTGCAGAGACTCATTTGACTTTTGAATGCGATTTTTAGCTGGGAATGATAGACATGTTCCAAATGAGCTTGGCCGTACCTCATTTCTAAATGTCGTACCAATTGCTGATAATCTCCCTGTTCCGATGGTGACAATGTCTGCAGGATATCAGTCGCATCTCGCAGTGCGACAGTCAAAGCGGTAGCCTTTTCAGCGATTGTCCATCCGTTCGCTCTCGCAGCGGCCTCAAACTGGCAAAAATAATTGGCCCAAGCGGTTTTCCGTCAAACTGTGGAGGCTTAATAACTGACTTTGAGATATACTTATTTTCGACTAGTTTCGGTGCCTCCGATGTTTCTTGACATTTTGGCGAATTGGCCTTTTCTATTTCTTGTTTTAAAATTTCGATTTTTCTGTTAACATCGTCCTCAATCTGTGCTATTTTGTCTTGTGTATCTATTATCTTTTCTTC